AACTGACGGTCGCTGACAGAGGGCACAAGTGGAAACTACATGAAAGTGCTTTTAAAGCTGGGAACAAAAGGTACTTCTTTACCCAAAGGGTAGCAGGAGTATGGAACAAGCTATCCAGCCATGTTGCTGAAGTTAATACCCTGGTTCAATTAAACTGCTAATTACCAGGTGGGCCAGATGGGCCAGATAAACTCCCCTCTTTGTACCCTTTTTTATTACCTTATGACACTTTGTGTCATGGGAAATCTGTCCTTTGCCACCACGTTAAATCCTCATTCCAGACAACTGCAAGAAAGCTGTTGGTTAAGGTTATAAAATTGTGTCGAACAACGGAAGCCACATTTTAAAAGCAATCCCAAGATAAATCGGACGGCATTCTGTCTGCCTTGCGTAAGAGAGATGATGAGCTGAACTGCGGCTGTCTTTCCACATTTTCACAGCACCCTGCAGCAGACATTTCGCTTCTCCTTTGAGCCGTCTGGGCGGTTGCTGTGTTTATCAGAGGCCTCCCCCATCCTAATCTCGGGTCTAAGTGTTTTGGGAGGAAGGAAGATCTGGAGGTGGGGAGCTGTGCTACAGTAGCATGCAAGTGTCAGAGGAGCAGGCATTTCAATCCCATACATCACTGAATGCCATGTCAACAAAGTTGATTGGATTTTGCTCCGGTACAGTCCAGATAAGGAGCTGTGATAGCTCAGACGGCAAGGGGCGTCTAGCGCCTGACCAGAAGGTCCCGGGTTCAATCCTAGGTAGGGATGCAGCTTGCTCTAATTCCTTCCAGATGGCTCCCAGGTCCACTCAGCCTGCTTTCCACATGAGTCGAGATGGTTAATCCTTCTGGGGGTAACAGGCCGGCCAGAGCGTGATGCTGATCATATCACCTCCAGTGTTGGAAGGTCAAGAAGAAGTGTGGCCCTTGTCCCCCCCATTCCCCCATGGGCCTTTATGGCCTGAAAAGGGGACCTAACCTCCCTACAGTCCAGATAAAAACAAAACACAAAATTCACTTACACATACAAAGTACATATTATTCAATCAATAGATCTAAATCTAGGCTATTGATAATATTGAGGTGCTCAATGGCCTCTAGAGAGAGATTCTATTTCAGAATCCAGCAGGACTGCACTTGAGGCTTTGAAACCTCCTGCCTGAATGGAGACGTATAAGAAGGAGGTGGGGTTGTGGAAGGGGTCTGTGGACGCCTTCTTAGCTTCCAAACTATTAGTGCCCTTGTGGACCCCACCTCTGCTTCCAGGCAGGGATTATTTCCACTGGTGCACTAATAAAACATGCATGAGAGACACATGGGGTGTCCTTACACACAGTACGCATTTGAACAAATGACAGAATGGCCCCCTAAACACATTTTTTAATTATGCAGGAGG